GATGGGGTTTGGGTGGAGGGAAGGGTGAGGTGGGAGTCTGACTGTGTTTATTCTGTTTTTGCTGCTGGAGCAGGTTTTTACTACTTTTCGTTGTTCATGTTGCTGTATGATGCTGTTGGGGCAGATGATGATGATGATGATGATGATGATGATGATGATGATGATGATGATGACGATGATGATGACGATGATGACGACGACGACGACGACGACCAATTGTTTGCCTTTTTTAAAATCTTTGAGCTTAACAACAATGATGACAATGATGATGAGCCATGTGTGATGTTAATAACACTATAACTCTCAGGTCAAAAGCTGTGCCTCTGTGTGGGGTCATTGGTGGTGTCAAAACAAGACGGACGTCTTCATGGCAGACAAAGCCTTGCTCACAGACCAACTCATACGTTTGTAGCAAACCCCCAGGTGAGAAGAGAAGCTCTTCACATTACTTCACTTACTTTACTTTTTCTTTTTAGTAAGATTTTACGATTGTTTTTTAAGGTTTATCGAATGATTTCATTTATACAGTACACTTCCTCAAGGAAAGTGCTCAGTTCACTTTATGGCAATACGAAGGGTGCAGTTCCCTTTTTTTGTTGAGGTAAATGATGACTCGTTAGTTTGAGCTACAACAGCCCTGTTTGGGCTAACAAGTCTGTCTGTTTCTCATGGTGTATACCTAGTTATTTCTGACAGTGGTTGGCTGGTGGGTGCTCTGGTGTGGTTTGCTCCTTCTTTCCTGTCAAACATCTAATGTCCTTTATCGCTCTACCTTTTTGTGTTTGTTACTGTCTAACATTTCTATTCTTCAGCACTTACTTGACCGTATTGTGTAAATGCTGTAATACTCTTACTAATGCTAAAAATACCTAGTTATTGCAGAACAGAATGTGTGAATGTCTGTCATTTGGAATTATAAAGCGACAAACATTTGAAACACTCCACAGGTGTATGTGCAGATGGTTGGGCTCAGCATCAGTCGACTTGCTACAAGTTCTACCCGTACCGGAAGAAGGGGTGGGGAGAGGCAAGGAGCTATTGTAGTGCACAAGGGGCTGATCTTTTAGCAATTTCTTCGTGAGTCATCTCTAAATTTTTTTATTATTGTTAACATTTTGATAACAATGACAACAACAACAGCATTGTTTAATTGTTGAATTAATCTTTGAATGAGAGTCAATTTGTGGGAATGCAGGCTAGAGAGAGAGAGAGAGAGAGAGAGAGAGAGAGAGAGAGAGAGAGAGAGAGAGAGAGAGAGAGAGAGAGAGAGAGATAGAGAGAGAGAGAGAGAGAGAGAGAGAGAGAGAGACAGAGAGAGAGAGAGAGAGACAGAGAGAGAGAGAGAGAGAGAGAGAGAGAGAGAGAGAGAGAGAGAGAGGAGGGGGGGGAGGGTCGTGGAGAAAAACTGCGACATCTTTTGAACTCTATTCCCCCCAACGACGGCAAGTTTAAGGATGAGTGAGTGAGACTGTAGACAAATGACTCGCTCTGAGAGAGATGAGTTAGACACCTGCCTATTGATAGACAGACAAATGAAAATAAAAAGTGACAGATTTTGTGAGAAAAAGAAGGAAATTTACATAAAAAGAAAAAAAAAATCAGTTTGAACAAGGACTTGAGGGAAGATGTAATGGAAGGACACACAGAGCCCTAAGACATGAAGGGTGGCCAATGCCATTGATTAACTCTACATGAGAAGCTGTTTGGGACAACAGGGGAACTAAGCGGGATGGCACAGTAAATGATATCTATGCCAGTTTTCATATGTATATGTGATGTCATTGAGAAGAAGAAGAAGAAGAAGCAGAAGAAGAAGAAGAAGAAGAAGAAGAAGAAGAAGAAGAAGAAGAAGAAGAAGAAAGAAGAAGAAGAAAAAAAAGAAAAAGATAGATTGTCAAGGCTAAATAAATCAATGAAGAGAAATAGATCGTGAGTAGTTGGCTCCTTTTTTCTAATCAAATTTCTATCGTCCTTATCTCTGTCCTTATTTTTTTTAACACTTCTAATCTTTGACACTTATATGACCTTACTGCATTGCAAGAGCTGTAAAATGCTTTACTAAAACAAATAGGATAAGAATGTCATATGAAGCAGGTATGGTAATTTCTACATTTTTCTCTTCGGTCATGAACGTTTGTCCTGGTGAGCACAGAGAGTCCAGCCAGAAGTTCCTAAAGTCTTTCTTCCAGACGCTCAAAAGTCTTGGAGTGAGGAGTATTTGGATTGGTCTGTCAGGTCAGTGCATGGGACAGAAGCTGAAATGTTTATGGAGGTTTTATGTGTTTCATGTGTATTGACAATGTGGAATCTGCCACTCATTGATTTTTTGACATATAATGTGTGATGATGTGTCGGAATCAGGCACTCGTCAATTTTTAGACATATTATAGTTATTGGTATCATCTTGAAGCTTTTTTATTTATCTTGCTTTTGATGAGAAAAAATCCGTACATTTTTAATGTAGGTTACAAGACAGAGTGATAAGAAGAGCCAACAAAAGTTAATAAATATCCCTCCAAGTATTCACTACTATTCAATATTCAATAGTCACTCCATGAATCAAAAGTTATAAAACATGCCTCAAAGAAAGTATTTGCTACTGACCAATACTTACTAATTACACCATGAATAGCTGATTGGGTCATGACTGTGAAATGCAATGGATGGATTTGTATAGGCTGGCACCCTGAGCTACCCTTGCCCTATTCAAAATTCAAATTTTAAAATCCGTTTCTATCAGATGCAGGGGTTGACCAGTCAAGCTATCGTTGGGTGGGCGGGGCACCTGTGGATGATGGGTGGACCAATTGGGCGCAGGCTAAACCTACTGACACACCTGGAAAGAAGGACTGCGGTTTCATCGCTACAGGTAAGCCTACTCCTGATAGTTTAACAAGGGCATTTCTGAAGGTTGGAATGGTATTATGGATGTTGTTGATGTTGTGGATGTTGTTGATGTTGTTGATGTTGTGGATGTTGTTGATGTTGTTGTTTTTATTCTTCTTGGTTGTGGTGATGATGATACTCGTGGGAGAGGTATCATTGATGATACACGTAGTATAAGTATCGGTGATGATACTCAGGATAGAAATATTGGTGTTAATGATGATACTCAGGGTAGATGTAGATGTACCAGTGGTGATGCTCATGACAGTTTGGTGATGCTATTGATGATGGTGATATAAACTGAATGGGAAATTAAGTTTTAATTCTTTTAAAATATGGTAATATGTCAATAAAATTATGAAGACTCCTCTACTTTTATTTTGCTTTTCAACACTGATATTAAGAATGTATAATGAGAATAGGCACAGGAGGAAAGAGGGTGGTGGGGATTTTATATATAAAGAATATTCATGTAAAAAAAAAAAATTGAGATTTGAAAATCTGTTCACCATGTATGTGTTTTTCAATGTGTGTGTTCTCTGTGTGGATGCTAGACTGTATAAATTAGGACAAAGATTGTACATAACAAGATAGTTCACTCTGCTCTTTGAGCCAATTAAAAAAGTGTCCTCAAAATCTGGGGCCGCCCTCTTCGAAAAAGTGTTGACTTTTCGAACACAATTTCCCTACTTGTGTGAAAAACAATAAAAGCGAAACTAAGAAACTGTGCTATTCCTATTCTTCCTCTGGAGAAATAAAAGAGAGCTTCAAAACAAAGACTGCAGTGCCATCTGAACCAATGCGCGAACTTCTGATGACACTTTTTGACTGAGTGAACTATCTTGTTATGAACGATCTTTGATTAGGACTGACAATCAAGACGGCATTTCTCTGTAACTTATCCTCACAGCTGACCGGAGGACGAGGTGGAAAGTCACACCACAGTGCACGTTGGCCAGATCCTTTGGCTGCCAGATCTCTGTCAACACAGTGCCGAAACGACCCGTGCCACCAAAGATGAAAAAGACAGGTTAGAATTTGAAGTGAAAGTGTCCGTCCATCTCCTGTAAGAAATTTGATTGCCCAGATTGACATCGTAATACTGTGCAACCTACTGTAATGACCACCTGTCCTAGACAATCACTTGAGCAAATAAGCAGTTGTCTCTCCCCCCCCTCTCTCTCTCCATCTCTCTCTTTCTCTCTCTCTCTACTTCTCCTCTCTCTCTTCATCTCTCTCTCTCTCTCTCTCTCTACCTACTTCCCTCTCTCTCTCTGGTTCTCTCTCTTTGCTTCTCTCTCTTTCCTCCCTCCTTCTCCTTCTCCCTCTCCCTCTCTCTTTCTCTCTCTCTCTCTCCTCTCTTTCTCACTCCCTATCTTCGCTCCTCTTTTTTCTCTTCTCCCTACCTTCCTCTGCTTCACTCTCATAATGTTTAGAAGGTGTTACCAAGTATACCCACTTGGAGCAACAAACAACAATCCTTGGCTCACTGTGCTCTGTTCTCAGGCATAGAAAGACAAAAAAGAAACCCTTATTTATTACATTTTCTCCTTCTTTCTTCCTTGCTTGTTCTCTGTAGAAGATATTTTTAACTCACAAATGCTTTTGGTTGTGTTGTGCAGTAGAGCTTAGTGTTGTGTTTGTTGTAAGCAACACAATGGTAATAATATCCACTTAACAACGGGACTCCTGAAGGTATGTTATTTATATCTGTGTATGTGTGGGAGTGTGTGTGTGTGTGTGTGTGTGTGTGTGTGTGTGTGTGTGTGTGTGTGTGTGTTGTGTGTGTGCGTGTGTGTGTGTGTTTGTTGGTGTGCATGTGTGTGACAGAGAGAAAAAGAGAGAGAGAGTGAGAGAGTGAGAAAGAGAGAGAGAGAGAACGAGAGAAAGAGAGTGGGGGAGAGAGAGAGGGAGAGAGAGAGACAGAGAGAGAAAGAGAGACAGAGGAGGGAGAGAGAGAGAGAGAGAAACAGAGAGAGACAGAGACAGAGAAATGGAGACAGATAGTTTGGGTGGTAAGGGGAGGGGGGGGAGAGCGGGGGAATAAATATCTTTGAAGTCTCCTCTGCTATTGTGTGGCAAAATACTAACTGTTGACAGTAACATGAGTATTGCTTGTCGTCATGACCACTCCTCTTTTTTTAAAACGTTTTGATTTCATAGGAAGCGTTCGCTGTGAGAAATCTTGGATAGCGGCCGGAGACACATGTGTCTTTGCGAGCGATCAGGACGCAGACTGGACTGCGGCTGGTCATGCCTGTGACCAAAAACTGGCTAAGCTTCTTGTTCTGTCTGATGATACAGTCTATACCGCTCTCAATGCCAGTGGTGAGTTGAATAATCAGTGGTGAGAGATTGTTGTTGGGTTTTTGTTTGACAATTTAATTAATGGTGAAGACAGTTTAGCATGAGCTTAACTAACACTCTCATAGCGGAACACGCTCATAGCAAAAAGATTTTCAGGTGCCGAATTTTTTTTTCACTGTGGTTTGAACATTTGTACATGATGTACCGTACTTGGGTTTGTGAAAATGATGTGTCCATTTCCAGCCACCTGATAATGTTGAAAGAGAAAAGGGCTGAATGGATAAGTAATACTGAAATACCAAAATGAATTAGAATAATTGAATAGAGAATAGAATATATGATGCTAGGTTTTATCAGCAGGTTGGCAGATTAAGAATAATAGTTAAAGCTCATGGGTCAATGTCTGACAATGACCAATACATCCACAGAGGAGAATATTTCTTTAGCAAAATAAAAGTATTAGAAGAAAGAAAGGTTTTAAGGACTTGTGGCTTCTGCTGTGGCTTATGAGACCAATTCTGGCCGAGAAAAGTTTGTCATATATTGAACATTTAAAAGCCCCACAAGATTGAAAATACGATCATAAAATTATTAAGGGAAAAATGGGAGTGTTGGTTTGGGGAGTTGTGGCTGACATGTAAGGAAACTTGTCAAAGTTACCAGCAAAGGGATGAATTAGTCTAGTTTTGTTTCAATGTCACCGTGGTGGTGTGTGATGTTATTTTTAGTAGCATCATGATTTCATAGTTTTTTTAATGCGTGTTTTGCTGTTACAAAACAATATTGTCATTTCTGTTAAAAAAATGCTTTTTAGACAAAAGGGTATGAAGTTTTAAGTGGTACTTTGATTTAACTAATGTTACTTTTGAGAAAATTGAAATTCAATAGCTAGTTTATAAAGTTATTCAGGGAGATTTTTTGTTTTTGAAAGGAAAGAAACCACTGCTTTGATGATATTCAATACATAACTCTAAATATTAATTCTGCTGATGATGTTTTTGCTGTAAAGAAAAGTAACGGCTGTAAATTTTTTTCACTGTTGCCGTTTCTGCAGTTTCGAAAACGTTTTTGGATATGTCACATACAATGGTGCTGCCAGTATCAGAAAGCACAGAAAGAGCCTTATACAGTAGGAAAACTGTTGTGCTGAGACAAAAATACATATAAAAAGAAAAGAATATTGAAAAATTGAAGTGGTTAGGCTCTCGGACTCGCAACCGTAAGGTCGTGGGTTCGAATCCCGTCGGGGACCCGACGTTGTGTCCTTGGGAAAGGCACTTTACACGAATTTTCCTCACTTCACCTAGGTGGGAATGGGTACCTGGCTATAGACTGCAAAAGATCTTGTCAGTTTGTTAATGTTTGAGCGCTTAATCAGCTGCTTGCACTGTATGCTTCGCGGGAAGCTGAGAATGTTTCGTAGTGTTCTATGGTCTGCTGGGGTAATAATATGGTGTAAAGTGCATAGAGCCTGATGTTGAGCGGGGATATGCGCTATACAAATGCTATTTATTAGTATTATTATTCTCGAAACCTCTTAGCAACAGATACACATACACATATTTGTCTATGCATCATGAATTGATTATATTGTGAAGTGTGTATTTGTTTTCATTACAAGGTAGAGATAATTTGACTGTTCTGTAATTTAGTGTAATGTTTGTCTTTGTGATATTATGAATATATTTAAGTTGGTTAGATACGCAGAGTTTTAAAAATAGTTTTTGTGCAGGATCATTGACCACTGGTTCCTATTGGATTGGTCTGACTGACAGTGCTGCGGAGGGGAACTTTGTCTGGGTGGATGGGACTCCGGTGAGTGTATATGTGAGACGTGCTGACAAAATGAGTTACTTCTCACAATCCACAAATGGAGATATTAGCCCAAAATCAACACTAGGGCCAAATTAGTAGATTTTCTATCGATGTCATATCCTTTAAGTAAAACATGCCTTATATTATTTCATACTTACAAATCGTAAAAACTTCACCTATAAGCGTGATGTAGCGATTTCCATAGGGCTCGAATCCGAGAAGTAACTCATTTAGTCAGCTCTCTTCACATATAGTAATATGTGAAGTGTGCTGACAAAATGAGTTACTTCTCGGATTCAAGCCTTAAGGAAATAGATAAATACTTTGTGCTTATAGGTAAAGTTTTTATAATTTATAAGTATGAAAAAAATAGGCATGTTGTACATAAATAATAGGGCATCAATAGAAAATCTACTAATTTGACCTTAGTGTTGATTTTTTGCCAATGTCTCCATTGTGGATTGCAAGAAGTAACTCTTTTTGTCAGAACGCTTCACATATAGTATATAATATAGATTGTAAAGTTCACAGAGCTTGCGGTTATAGTTTTATTACAATGTAGTTCAAGTGCAATGGAAGCCTGTCTTGATGTAACTTGAGCCTGGACATGGCAGATGGGACTGCCTTTGGGAATGCAAGTAATCCCTCTCTCTCCCTCTACTTCGCCCTCCAACAGTCATACATCTTCTCCTTTTGCTCTCTTCTGTCGCACTTATAATTTATTTGTGATATTGATTTCTTAAAAGATAATAAGCCTCCTAAGAGACAGATATGAAATATAGCCCTGTGAACTGGAATAAATGAATTTGTTTAACCTCCGTGTTGTCCTGAGGTATCTTGTGGGTCACCTTAGAAATGATCTGCTCTGTGTCCAATAGATATATCATCATTAATCTATTAAAAGAGAGGTGGGGGAAAGCATATGATTCTACTTCATTTCTCTTTATTTCAAACCATAACCTCATCAACTTATTTATAGAGTTCTTGTTGTGAATGGTTATTTCTTGTTGAACTAAGATTCTCCTCTGCAAAATCCTACTCTCCATAACTCGGGTGGAACATGGGCTTTTAAAACCTGTGTTTTGAGAGATATAAGTGACTCACTCATAGTTTAATGTATTCATGTCATCTTTTGTTAGGGGCTCTCGTGGCCTAGAGGTTAAGGTGTTGGCCGCTCATTCAAAGGTCCCGGGTTCGAATCCGGGTAGCGACAGAAAAATTTCTTCTCTAAAATTGTCTCCTTTCACCTCCTTTCCTGCTCTCTAGCAATGTTCTGTTGTCTGCTTTCATTTCCACTTTCTGACCCCACCCCCTCACCTCCTTTGCCCCTCCTCTGGGCTCCTGATTCTTTCTGCAGCCTTTCTACTGCTACTCCTTGGCTCCTCCTTACTGCTGTCTTTCTGCCACACCCTTGATCTTCTGGTAGGAAAGATCTACACCTAGCCTTCTCGGACAAGGGCGAAAAATCTCGGAGGGCCCGTGTGCAAGTTGCGCACGTTAAAGATCCCTTGGTGATCTAAAAATCGATAAGAGTAGGCTTCGGCCGCCATCCGGGCAAAATTCAAAATTTCCTACCAACTGAAAATATTAGGAGTGTCCCGCGCGCTCATATGACCTTATGCAGTTGCGAGCGCCGTAAAACACTTTACAAAAAAAAATAAATGTTTTGTTATAAATTATTTCAGAATGCAGGATTGTCTTAGTTGTCTGTCCTTTTTCCTAAGAAGATATACACAGGTCTATATTTGTGTCTCAACACGACTCGTTAATTTTTGGGTAGGTCTATATATGGAGTTTTTGGTATCACCTTAAAGTCTGTTTATTTTTCTTGCTTTTGGTGAAAAATACACCTGTCTATATTTAACAGATGTTGAAATATTTGTGATGGAATGAGGTGGGGGTCACCCGGTGTTAGAGATGTAAAGTTAGCGAGGTCATGAATGTTTGATGACTTTCAAAGCTTGAGTGTATTTGAAAATTGCCAAATTACTTTTTTTGTGCCTTATGTCAAATTTTTTTACTAAAATCCATGCAAGAATGTGTATTTGAATGGGCATAACAGGTGTTGAATCAAAAAACGACAGTTAGAAAAAAAATAGCCCAATGGCCAGAAAAATGGTGGCATCTTTAATTTCATTATTTTGACGAGCGCCTGATTTCACCACGATGTGTCACTTTTTTTTTACAACAGGTCACTTATTTTACAGTTTCAAACATTATTTGTAGAGGTATATAACGTAGCCTTCTTTGGCGTAATATGTCTGCTAGTCTCTCATAGTGTATGCTCAGTTATCGCTCAAAGATATGACACTGTTCTTAATTTCTGTTAATTGAAACTCGTAGCGTCATAATAATTTCTTTGATTTTTTTCAGTTGAACCCTTCCTTGACTCATTGGGCCAATGCGGAGGCTCTGAACAGCACAGCTCAGAACTGTATATTCATGAAGCGGTTCAATGGCACGCTGAAATGGGATGACAAGAAATGCAGTAGCAGAAGGATGTTCCTTTGTCAAAAGCTCCCGTGTAAGTATACACGTCGTTTGTGCGGTAGGAGTATGTAAAACGTTGGGAAGAGTTTGGTTATAATTATTTAACAGATTTTGTAACAAGTAGATTTACCAGGAGCACTTTCCCCTGCTCAAGTAAATTTTAGAATTTTCAAGCTTAAATTTGTATGCAAGGATGCACCTCTGAAATGAAAAGTAGCACTCATGGGCTCATATGACCTTATGCAGTTGTGAGTGCTGTTCAGCACTTATAAAAGCAAAAATGAAACACCCCCCCCCCCCCAAGCACTTAAGGATTAACCTGTGAAATACCTCTCAGTCACAGTTTACAGTCTATCAGTTTTTCTAGCCTGAACCTTTTTCATTGTTTCTTTACAGTGACCACATGCATGACCACATCCTTTTTTTTAGCGTCACTTCCCTCCCTCACATCTTACTCTGTCCCACACAGTGCCTTTATGGAGGTATTTCACTGAGGAAGCAGTGCCTAACTTTCATCCTTGTCTCGATCAGTCATATAATGAGAATCTCCCTCTATTTCACTTGCTTAAGCGTGAGGTCTGGTGAGCTAAAAAAATGTTTTTTCACAGACCTAAATAAATGAATTTAGCATAGTGAGACTCAATGCCAAGGTGCGAAATGATTTGGGGTGTTATTCATGACATAATATGTCACTCATTGCCACGGTGATGGTGGCCATCTTGAAAATAAACACAAATCTTAAATTCCTAAAGTTTCAAACAATAATCAAGATATACTACTTTGTAAGATAGGAATGGAGAGGCATGACCTATATTGAGGTAATAGGGTGACTATTTCTTTTCTTCATTTGGTTGTTTTCATGGATGTGGCATGACTTTGAATTTCATGATGAAAGAAAATGTTGAACCGCCCCCCCCCCCACCTCCCAAACCTGATATAAATGCTCATGCCCCCTCTCATATACAAAGATTAACTAGTTCATTACCTAGAAATATGGATAAGCTATCACTGGGCCAAATTTCAAGTCTCTAGGGTAATAAGTAAGGGAGATTTTAGTAAGGATTTTCGTTGCATGCTGTCCTAGAAAAACACAGTTCAGAGTAAATCCTGGCTGTGAAAGTAAAAAAATGACCTCTACTGAATTACTATTAGTAGCCAAATAAAACAAAATTTCACATACAACGTGCTTATTAAATCTCAGCAAAATAATATCACCGGATTTGATATCTAGGCACATTTAGGTATTCACTTATGCAAAAACCTCAAAAGCGATATTTGGACCCAATTTTCAGCTGAAGTCTCACTCGACGGCCTCCTTAAACTTCATCAGCACCAGCCACATTCGCCTTCCCCGCAGTGAAGTAGTTAAATACAGCATATGTGAGCCATCAATGTGGAATCAGGCGCTCGTCGAATAATGAAAATGAAAATATGAGCATTTTTCTGCCAGTTTGATAATTTTGTTGAATTTTTTTTTTTAGCGCAATACCTGTTATGTCGATTTAAAAACACATTTATGTGTGGATGTTACTGAAAAACGTTGACTAAAAGCACAAACATTTTTAATTTTCAGTTTCCAATGACTCTGAAGCTTTGGAAATTACCAAACCTTCGTGGCCATTTACTTGCTAATTTTATCTCTGAAACCAGACGACTGCCACTCCTTCCATTGCATATATCTTAGCTTCTTTTCAAGATATTATATTGGTATCTTTTTCATCGAAGGACAAGCAAATGAACAAGCTTTAAGATGATAACAATAACTCCACATGCCCAAAAATTGACAAGCGCCTGATTCCTCCGTGTCATGACACATATGCTATTATAATTAAGTTTTAAAAAAATGAAAGATTTAATTCTTGAAATTTCCTTCCACAGCTAACAATGTTGCTACTCAAGCTCCAGTGACAACTACACCAGGTAGAGTCTTATTTAATTAGCAAGCTGTTCAGATGTCCTAAGCCAACAGTTTTTGCCTTTCGTTATATTCAGTTTCCTAAAATATAGTATGGGTTGGATGTTCCTAAAATATAGTATGGGTTGGATGTTCCTAAAATATAGTATGCGTTGGATGTTCCTAAAATATAGTATGGGTTGGATGTTTCTCAAGAAATATGTCGAAATTCAAATTTCAAATTTTGAAAAAGCAGGAAAAATTTCATAAGTGTAGGTGGAGTTGTTAAGAGAAGGAAGTAGTTTTTTTTCTGTCTACTTTGAAATTTTGTCCTCTGGGCTTAGTAGATTTCCACAACAACACCACTTATATATGCAATAGATCAGGGTTCTCAACCTTGGTTCAATTGAATCTCTGGGATTCAGTGATTCCGTTTCAGGGGTTTGGCAGAGGTCAAGACACGGTGTATGAGTGTGTATGTGTGTGTGTGTGTGTTTGTGTGTGTGTGAGAGAGAGAGAGTGAGTGTGTGTGTGTGTGTGTGTGTGTGTGTGTATGTGTGTTTTTGTAAGTGTGCATGTATGTGTGTGTGTGTGTGTGTGAGAGTGTGTGTATGTGTGAGTGAGTGTGTGTTTGTGTGTTTTTGTAAGTGTGCATGTATGTGTGTGTGTGTGTGTGTGTTTGTATCCATTCAGTTCACCCCTCTCAAAGACTTTGGTGAATGTAGGCATGAACTTGTGGGGTTCAGTGCTCCCACCATTGTTAAGATTCACTGTATAAAACGAAACAAATTCTTAGTTCAAGGACACATTGACTCTTAGTTGTAAATGGTTGTTGTGGTGGTAGTGGTGATGTTTTTGGGGAAGGGGAAGGATAACGGTGACGATGTGTAGGACATCAGGGATGAAAAGGAAGAGGAATGATATACAAACAGGAGCTAAAAGAAGAGGAACCAGAGAAAAATAAAAGTTTTGCTTCCTTCCTCTGCTGGTATGAGGCTACTTTACTTATGGTTTTATGCATGTTGGTTTGTTTGTTTGTTTGTTTGTTTGTTTGTTTGTTTGTTTGTTTGTTTGTTTGTTTGTTTGAGTAATAAGAAGCACATTGACACAATAATGGTCATTTAGTGCTTGGAAAAAGTAAGACAGACAGACAGAAACAAATGAGGGAAAGTAAAGAAGTAGGACCTTTCAGTGGCACTCTCCAACTACCCTCAGATTTTATGCGAACAGTGATAGTTTTTCCATCTCTTAAATCTCCTGTCTTTTGTTGTTTCTTTCCTAGCACCGTTCAGCTCCAAATGTGGCAGCGGCTGGGAGGAGCGAGCCGGCACAGACTTCTGCTACATGTTCCCGGGGACTCAGACCACGTGGGCACGGGCGCTGGCTGTGTGCCAGGCACAGAACGGAAGTCTGGTCAGCATCACCTCCAGAGCGGAGCAGAGCTACCTTCAAGGTCATTAAAATGATTTTTTTTTTAGAGGGGGGGGGGGGTTGTGTGATGAAAGCACATATGTGAGGCAGCGAGGTGAAGAAACTTGCATTTTTCCGCAAGTTTGTGAGTTTTTATAAAATTTTGTTTTTTGGCTCAACATCTTTCATGCCCTTTAAAGAATTAATTTCTGTGTTGATTTTTCTGAAAAACGTCGATTAAAGGCGCTAAAAATTTAAATTTTCAGTTACCACGGACTCTTAAGCTAAGGAAATAACTAATCTTTGCCGGCCATTTCTCACTAATTTCACCTCTGAAAACAGGTGACCCCCATCCCCTTCATTCGGAAATATTTCGACTTGTATTCAAGATAAATGGATATTTTTTTTCATTCAAATAAAGACAAGTGAGCAAGCTTTAAGATGATACCAATAACTCTACATTCCCAAAAATTGACGAGAGCCTGATTGCACCACGCTGCCTCACATATGTAAAGCAGGGTGGTGAAATCAGGTGGTAAAAAGACTACTTAGTGTAAAATGACTATTTTCTCCTCAACAATGGATGGTCATCTTGGCTAGATTTTGCCTGCAGTTATTGTATTTTGAATCTATTTCCTTGTTTCTTTTTGTTGAATTGACAAAATACCTTTAACCAACTTTTTTCAGTAAAATCCACACAAAAATGTGTTGTTTAATGGGCATGAAAGGAGTTGAGCCAAAAAATTAAAATTCAATAAAAAGCCTTTTAGTTTTCACCATGTGGACTGTCCTGTTGGCTTCAAGGCTGAGGTAAATATCGAATATAAATTTAGAGTTAATATCTCATTTGTTATCCCTTCTGATTAAAGAATGATGAACAGAAAACTGGTATGACATGGAATAAGGTCAAGAAGCTATCCCAAGATAACGAGAAATGGAAATTGTTTGTTTGTGGCCTATACCATACACGGTGAGAAATGTGATGATAATGATCTCTCTCTCTCTCTCTCTCTCTCTCTCTCTCTTTCTTTCTCTCTCTCTCTCTCTCCCTCCCTCTCTCCCTACCCCCCCTCTCTCTCTCTCTATTTCTTTATTTCTCTCTCTCTATCTCCCTCCCTCCCTCTCTCCCTCCCTCCCTCTGCCTCTCTCTCTCTCTTTCTCTCTCT